GAGGAAGGGTCTAGGCCCGAAGCGTCAGCCTTCCTGCTCCTCTGATGCTGCTTGGTCTGCTGTGTTCATTCAGTTCTACACCATGTTATCTCAGATTCTCCAGCATCTGCAGTTCCTGAAACTAAAGGTAGGAACTGGTTCAGGCTGCTTAGTTCCTCAAATCTATGCTGTGCATTCAAGAGTAATCATGCCGTTCTGCAGTTTAATTCCATCTACCCCATATCAGGATAGTTGCCCTTACCAGAGCTTTCAAAAAAATAAGCCCCATCAATCTCTTGAAATTTTCAATTAACCCAGCCTTAATAGCCCCTTCAGCAGGAAGGGAGAGGAAGAAAGAGAGAGAGCGCGAGAGCGAACAAAAGAAAAAAAGGGAGGGAGAAAGAAAGAGTGCAAAAAAGGGAGGGAGATGCATTGATATAATTAATGCCATTCTGAATTAGCTGTCCCCAAAACGGTTTACAAATAGACACTGAAGTTATTTTGGGATGTTTCCTCCCCTATAATGTGGGAACCACACGCCATCAGTTTGTAGTTGGCCAGCTCCCGAAAACTAAATTATAACGACCATATTAAAATAGTTTCTTCAAACTTGGAGACACGAAAATTGGTCAGGACTCTAGGGATCACTCGTTCCTCTCACTAGCTCCAGCCCTACGTTCCAACTTGAGAGAGACATTGTCTGTTTAACATCACAGCCCCAAAAGTCAGCATCTCTGGCAGTGTGGCCCTTCCATAGTGTCACACGGAAGTATCAACCCAGAAACTCAAGACCAACTGAGCAACTGATAACATATGTATAATTGTAGCCTAGTGCTCAAGGGAGTTCTAACCAATCATTGAGGTTACCATATATTTACAAAAGGAAAAGGAAGATACCTTTCAGCCAATCTGCAGGTTCTTAGCAGCTTTTTGATGTGTATCAACTGTTCTTGAATTTCCTGATGGGGAGGGTTTTAAAAGAAAGGTTTCATATTATTGCATTGCCCTCTACTGATACAGATAACTACCTACAACCAAAAATAAATCGAATGCTGCATTGAAAAACTTGTTTTCCTCCCTCACCCTCTCCCCAGACAAGAAAAAAAAAGTTTTGCTGCATTGTTAAAACACGCGAATGATTAACATGGAGATCAGTTTAGGGTTCAACTACAGCAGTCGATTTGGGCAGAGAGGGGACTGAAATTTCAGTAGAACCTTCAATTAGTGGGTAGCAGGTATATGGGAAGGTCAGTTACACACCACCCAGCCTTAGAAATAAACTTGACGACATTTCTTCGTAGCTATTGTGCAAGAATCTGACCTCCCTACCCAGCAGCATTGAACACCTTTTTAGATTGTGAGAAAGGCATAAAAGTATCCAAAATTACTTCAAAATCAAACTTGACAGATTAGTGAATTTAAAATGAACCTTTTACTACCTATGACATGATCCAAGTTGGCTATAATTCTGGTCAATAATTACAGGGATAGAACTCTACATTCCATCCTTCCGAGTGTCCAATTCTGGTTGTCCTGTTATAGGGAGGATATTAAGCTGGAGAGGGTACAAAAGAGATTTACCAGGATGTTGCTGCGTTTGGAAGTTGAGTTATAAAGAAAGGTTGGATAGCTGGGACTTTTTTCACTGGAGTGTAGGAGATTGAGAGGTGCCTTTATAGGAGGTTTATAAAATAATGACGAGTATAGACAGAGCTAACTGTAGGTGTCTTTTCCCTAGGGTGGAGGATTTCAAGGCATATTTTTAAAGATGAGAGGAGAAAGATTTTAAGAAGACAAGAGGGCAAATTGTTTTTACATAGAGGGTGGTTCACAGGTGGAGTGAACTTCCTGAGGAAGTCGTGGATGTGGGTCTGGTTACAACTTTTAAGAAATATTTGGATAAGTATACAAATAGGAAAGGTTGAGGGATACAGGCCGGGAGCAGGCAGGTGGGACTAGTTTAGTTTGGGATTATGTTTGGAATGGATTGGAATGGATCTGTTTCCATGCAGTATGAATTTGACTTATCTTCAGTTGTGTGGACCTTGTAGTCAACAAACAAGAGAATACTAAAACAATTCTTCTCTCCAGTAAAGACCAGTGACAAAAGGGAAAGTCATTGAACCTTATTATATTTGTCATAGTGCTAATAGTCCCCTCTAAGGTGGATGATAGATCATTGATCTGAAGTGTAGAAAATGTGATAAAGGGTCATAACTTTTCGTGTGTGGAAATTTAGCTTCTAAAGTGGATGTATTATCTTGTGTTCAGATGGAAAAGACAGTTTTAGTTATGGTTGGAGGTTATTACTGGTGCAAGCCTGCCTAAAATTTTGTTTACATGAATCTTGAAGTTTTTAAACTCTTAAAGGTGAATGGTTCACTGCATTAGAAACGAGGCCATAATAAGGCTGTTGCCTAGCAACAAAAAAAAAAGGTATCCCATACCACGGAGACAGACAAAACCAAAGGCAGCAACGCAGATTTATTTTATAGAAAAGCAAGTCACTCAGAAAGGGCCTGTAACAGCCGCAGGGCAGTTGGAGTGGTCTCCAAAACAGAGACCAGGAAGAAGAAAAGTCCTGTGTGGCTAAGTGGTCAGTAAGGGGTGGTGATCTAGAAAACAGAAGAGGAATTTAATGAAATCATGCTAAAATATAAATGTGACGTGTCAACAATTTTTTCAGTCGTCCCTGGAAGATTAACTAAAGACATCATGCCTAGGTTTGCCATAAAAAGATAACTACAGCCACGTCAACTGAACAAGGAACTGTAAAAGTGGAGGCAGGGAGAGCATTCACTGAGGCTTAAGTGGAGGTTGCTGCTCAGGGTAAAAAGGGTTGAATCTCCATTTCTGATTGTTGTTAATAAGACAGCTTCCCAATAAGACTTGTGCAAAATATTCTCCTTTCTATGTAATGAATTTAGATGTCCTCTTGTTCAAAGAGCATTGTAGCCTCTTGTGAATATGTTCAGTGACTGATCTCCGCAGTAATTATTCAGTAAAAATACAATCTTATGGTCCATCATGTTTCACGTTGGGATTGGACTGGACCAGGCTTACTAGTATCCAGGATAATAATAAAGGCCAATTAAGTTGAAATGGACTCCATAATGACCCAGTTACATGAGCCTTCCTGGATTTGATTTGTTCCTGTCACGTGTACTGAGGTACAGTGAAAAATGTTGTCTTACGTGCTTTACAGGCAGATCGTACTATACAAGTGCATCAGGGGAACAGAACACTATTACAGCTGCTGAGAAAGTGCAGAGCAAGAGAGCAATCAACATTAATATTGAAGAGGTCCATCAAAAGTTTGATAAACAGCAAGGAAGAAGTGACTCTTGAATCTGTTCGCATACGAACATTTCTTCAGCCTGATGGAAGAGGTCTTTGATTATATTGGCTGCCTTCCTGGGGCAGCGAGAAGTATAGATGGTGTCAATGAATGGAAGGTTGGTTTGGGTGATGGACTGGGCTGTGTTCACAACACTCTGCTCTCCCTGAGACAGTAAGAAACTATAGTGGTCATACAGATGCATCCCAGTTAGGACTGTTTTTTGGTTCATCTAGAAAAAAAGTGTTTTAAGAGTCTTTGTGGACATACGGAATTTCCTTAGCCTCCTGGAGGAAGTAGAGACATTGCTGTGGTTTCTTGACCATCCAGTTGACGTGGGGTGGACCAGGAGAGATTGTTGATGACCACCACTCCAAGGAACTTGATACTCTTCACCATCTCCATTGATGTAGACAGGAGCGTGCCCTCCACCTGGCTTCCTGAAATCAGTGATGAGCTCCTTCATTTTCCTGACATTGACAGAGAGATTGATGTCTTTACACCAGGCCATTAAGCTCTCTATCCTTCCTGTACTCTGTCTCATCGTTGTTCGAGATCAGGCCTACAACTGTGGGGTCATCAGCAAATTTGTAAATTGAGTTGGTGCAGAATCTGGCCATGCTGCATGAGTTTTCTTTGGCACCAGAATGGTGGTGGTCTTGAGGCAGGTGGAACTTCAGGTAAAAATAGAGAGAGGTTCAAGATGTCAGTGAATACTCCCGCCAGCTGGTCCGCTCGGGATCTGATAGCACAGCCTCAGACTACCAGCGCCAGTCACATTCCATGGGTTCACTCTCAACAAAGGCCCATCTAACATCTCTGGCGGTGACTGTAGGGTGCATGGAGCTCATCAGGGAGGGATATACTGTTGCCCATGATACTGTTTGACTTTCCTTTGTAGCCCGTTAGGACGTGCAAGCCTTGCCACAAAACAACAGGTGTGTCAACATGATTAGTCTGGGTCTCAAACTTACCTCTTGGCATCTCTAATGGCCTTGCAAAGTTCGTGCTTGGATTTCCTGTAAAGGTCAGGGTGGTCCAACTTGAAAGCTTCAGACCTGGACTTCAGTAGGGAGTGGATCTCCCGGTTCATCTGTCTGGCCTTTGCAAAATTATAACTTTTTTTTTTCCGATCCTGGACAATCTGCTTAACACGCATCCTGGCTACAGTACAATTGGCAGAAAGCAGGGCCATAAGATAAATAGCAAAGCCTGACTCATGTCTAAAGATCTCCTCAAGGGCTAATTTCAGAAAGTCCCGGTATTTGAAGAGTAGGCTGATTGTTGTAAGCCAAGATAATCTTGTTGCACCATTTAAAGTCCATCTTCAATTCCTTCCTCAGCCTAAGGACATTCCTGAACCACTCACTCCCGAGTGAAGGAGTAGCGAAGTTCATTTCAATTAATATCTGCCATTTTGATTTGGATTTATTCCTTGCCGCAAAAACCTTTTGGTTTGTGTGCATGAGGTCACAAAGACCTCGCCAAGATCGAACGTGTGAATAAAAGTGAGACGCCTGGCTTAAACTTGAAAGTTTGCTGTGGGTCGCCTTAAATTGACCAACAAGACCATTAAACAGGGTTTGAAATCCAACCAGTTTGTGTATTATGCCACACTGCTTATAGGCACAAGCTGATGAGAACCAAAAAAAAGTGTTCGGTTTGAATCTCTCCTCTATCCATAACAGAGTGCAGCAACTGACCATGATCACTCATCTTTGGGCTAACAATAACCAGTCATTCAGGATTTAAAAAAAAAACAAATCCCATTTTTATTTTATTAGCAACCATTGCTAACTTGCATGGGAAACCAAATCAAATACCAAATTCTAGTCATTCTGCTTCCTACCCATACAACCCCAAATAGTCACGCATACCTTGGCTTTTCTCAATTCCTTTACTTTGCTGTAGAGGAACTTGTTGATGTAGAAGATGTTGAACAGTGGGTCATGCCATATACTTTCCAGCAGTTGTTTGGAGAAATGGCAAACCGGATGCTTACTGAAATCCCACTTCATTAGAATTCGGCCAGGGATTGGGGATTCCTCATTATGGTGACAGCACTCACAGAAATACTTTCCCAAGTAGTCACAGTAACGGAGCTTTTTGATGTATTCTGCAGGGAGGACAGAAATATTGAGAGGGGCAGGTGTTCCATTCTAAAATGATGCTCAATCATACAATGCATTGAATCTTCCTCTACTGCTTAACTAATGCTCAGGTAGGTTGCCCCAAGCTGTATAGTAATGTTTAATACTTATGCAATATATTAAAAAAAAAGGGCCTTGGGTGGTGTTGTAGAACAGCAAGACCTAGGGGTTCAGGTACTTAACTCTTTAAAGTTTGCATTACATATAGATAGGGTGATCAAGGCAGCATTTAGCACACTTGCCTTCATTGCTCAGGCCTGAGAGCATAGGAGTTGGGGCAATATGTTGAGGTTGTACTGGACACTGGTGAGACCTCTTCTGGAATACTGTGTCCAGTTCCAGTCACCCTGTTACAAGAAGGATATTAAGATGGAGGGAGCTCGGAAGAGATTTACCAGGATGTTGCCAAGAATGGTAGCTTGGAATTATAAAGGAGAGGCTGGATAGGTTGGGACATTTTTCACTCAAGTGTAGGAGGTTGAGAGGTGACCTTATAGAGGTTTATAAAATCATGACGGGCATAGATAAGGTGAGTGGCAGGCGACTTTTCCCCAGGGTGGGAGATCGAGAGAAGGGGGCATATTCTTAAAACGGGAGGGGAGAAAGATTTTTTAAAAAAAAAAGACATGAGGCACAACATTTTTTTTTTAAGAAATAGAAACAGTGGTTCATGTGTGGAATGATCTTCCAGAGGAAATGGTGGATGCGGGTACAGTTATAATGCTTAAAAAGACATCATATAATTATCTAAATAAGAAATGTTTAGGGGGTGGGGGCTGGAATATGGGCCAAGTGCAGGACAGTGGGACTAGTTTAGTTTGGGATTATGGTCAGCATGGACTGATTGGACCGAAGGGTCTGTTTCTGTGCCTTGCAAGAAGGGACTACCTGACAAAGTATGGGGTGAAAATGCAACAGCTATTTGCAGCTGATTTGTCCCATGTAGTTCTCCAAATGTTGTTGCAACGTCTGCAGGTCTCAGACAGAGTCGTGCTATATTCTAATTTTTTGTTTAAACACAGGATGATGTTGGTCACATCAGGTGATCAAGGGCTACAGGCCTGACGTTACCAAACACGGTCATTGGCAACACTTAAGTTGGAAAGGCTGTCAACTTACATTTAAGACCCCGAGTATTGGCGAGAGATGGTTGCACAAACAAATTTACTGAAAACACCCCAACTAATAAAGGATTACCTCCTGAAAATTACCTGCTACAGGATTACCTTCGCATTTTCCCCAGAAGAACGTGAAGTAACAGGCACCGACTGCATATGGGAGAGCTGCTGCATAGTGCTGATGGCAACAAGGTATTTCATAAAATCCCTACAGTGTAGAAGCAGGCCATTTGGCCCATCGAGTCTACACCGGCTCCCCAAGCAGCATCCCACTGCCCTCCCCCCACCCGCCCCCATAACACTGCATTTCCCATGACCAATCCACCTAACCTGCACATCTTTGCGCTGTGGGAGGAAACCCACACAGACAGGGGGACAATGTGCAAACTCCACACAGACAGTTGTCTCAGGCTGGAATCGAACCTGGGTCCTTGGCACAATGAGGCAGCAGTGCTAACTACTGAGCCACCATGCTAATCACCATCAGATCCAGGCACGAACCATCACCACCAGGGATTACTAACTGATCTTCGTCCGTTTTGTCTTGCTTGAATAGCTCAGTTCCATATGTGCTTGCTGAGTTTCTGAAAGCTCTGATGGATTTTAAAAAAGTACTTTCCCCAATTTCCTCTCATTTTCATACGCCATGTCCAAACTAGAGTAGGTGCATGTTCTACAGGAACTGTCCAAGTCTGGCTTGAATGAATGTCCCATCTGCAGAGAAAGCGCTATCTGCTTAACATGGCCAATAACAATCCCGTCACAAAATTCATGAAGTCTAACATGGAAAATCAGATCCAAAACAAAGTCAAATCACTTCAAGGCTAGTACTAAATTAAAATTATGCATTGAAAGCTTAAAACCTCTTGTAGCTTGCTATTAGATAATTTCCCCACGAGCCCTGTTCAGTTGGCAATGGTTCAATTGCTAAGTATTTTAAACCGGATGATGCTTCGAAACATCATGCATTTAATCTCGATCACATTCGGATCCGAGTTGGAGAATAATTCTGGGTAACACATTGCAGGATCTTGGGGGCTAGAGAAAGGCTTGCTTTTCACATTTTCTTGAACAATACCTGGGTCAAATACGTTTAATTCTGAGGACACATCAATTAGTTTTGTGTTCCTTCAAGTTTGGAAGCTCAAAAGAATGATCTAAATCTGAATAACTGGGCGAGACAAGTAACCTCCCATAACTTCTGCTCACCCTAGGCTCCTGCTAAAGATGGACAGGCTCTGCAATGAGAACCAGACACACAAGTTTCACTGAAACCTGCAAGTAAAAGCATTACTAACAATGTTTCATTATATTTCATACTTAATGGGTATTATGCAGTATTATATAGTAACTGGAAGACCCCATTACTGATCCATTGACAGTCCTTCCAAAAGAAAAACTGAAAGTGATATTTGAACTCTTGTCATTCGTGATTCCTTTCAAATAGATCCAGGGAAAATATTTCCTCTGGTGCGAGAATTGAGAATACAAATTAGGTTTAAATATCTGAATCAAAGTGACTTACTCTCCCCTAACTCAAAAAAAGATGATGGAATAAAATTCGATAAGTTCTGTAGTTCGAGTTGTGGAGGAGGTTGTAGACTTGCTTGCCGAGCCGGTGTGTTTGATTGCAGACGTTTCATCACTGTGCTAGGTAACACCATCAGTGAGCCTCTGGTGAAGTGGTGGTGTTCTGTCCCGCTTGTTATTTATATGCCTCGGTTTGCTGGGGTGGTTGGCATCACTTCCAGTTCTGTTTTTCAGTGGTTTGTATATCAGGTCCAGTCCAATGGGTTTGTTGATGGCGTTCCAGTTGGAATGCCAGGCTTCCACAAATTCCCTGGCATGTATCTGTTAGGCTTGTGCTAGTATGGATGTGTTGTCCCAATCGAATTCCTGTCCTTCTTTGTCCATGTGTATTGAGACCAGTGAGAATTGGTCGTGTCTCTTGGTGGCTAGTTGATGTTTGTATATCCTTATTGTCAGTTTTCTTCCTGTTTGGCCTGTGTAACGTTCCGCATCGTGGGAATACCCACAACCAATGAAACTAACATAATATACAAAATACAATGCAAGGATTGAAAAACAGAACCGGAAGTGATGCCAACCACCCAAGCAAACCGAGGCATACAAATAACAAGGGGAACAGAACACTAATGCTTCACCGAAGGCGCACTGATGATATTACCTAGCAGGGCGACAAAACGTCTGCAATCAAACACACCGGCTCGGCAAGCAAGTCTATGACCTCAAGGTGATGGAATGGAAGTCAGGAATTTTCTCCCAAGAGACCATGGATAAAGTCAATTGAGATTAAGATGCAGATCAACACAGATTTGATTTGTATCTCTTTGTATTTCAAAGCTCAGAAGAGTTGATTCATAAGGAGGATAACAGCTTGGGGGAGAAAGTGATTAGTTTTTTTTATTCGTGAGTGGCGTTGGCTAGGTCAGCATTTATTGCCCATCCCTAATTGCGCAGAGGGCAGTTAAGAATCAACCACATTGTTGTGGGTCTGGAGTCACATGTAGGCCATACCAGGTAAGGAGGGCAGTTTCCTTCCCTGAAGGACATGGAATTTTCAGGGAATCCCTACAGTGTGGAAACAGCCCCTTCGGCCCTACAAGTCCATACCAACCCTCAGAGCATCCCACCCAGATCCATCCCCCTTTCACCCACCTAATCTAATATTCCTGAACACCACGGGCAATTTAGCATGGCCAATCCACCCTAGCCTGCACATCTTTGGACTGTGGGAGGAAACCGGAGCACCCGGAGGAAACCCACACAGACACGGGGAGAATATGCAAACTCCACACAGACAGTCACCTGAGGCTGGAATCGAACCGGGTTGCTGGCGCTGTGAGGCAGCAGTGCTAACCACTGAGCCACCGTGCCACCCAGTGAACCAGATGGGTTTTTCCTGACAATTGATTCATGATCATCAGAATCTTAATTCCAGATTTTTACTGAATTCACATTCCACCATCTGCCATGGTAGGATTGATTCAAACCCAAGTCCCCAGAACTTGACCTGGGTCTCTGAATTAATAGCCTAGAGGTAATACCACTAGGTCATCATCTCCGCTATAATAGAATAATAGCCAATTGACTACAAAACAGAAGAAAGAAGTGGTTAAAAAAAGGTAGGAAGTGACATTCCTCTGGAGCAGTGTTGTTCACCATTTACAAAGAGTGATTTGGAAGCTGAAATCAGATATGCAACACCACAAATCGAGATGCCACCAAATTAGTAGTAGGGGTCAGGGTGCTGGGCAGAGTTAAAATGGAAAAAAGTACTACACCAAAACCCAAAGATGAAATTAAACCTGAAAAACAGATACGTACATGGAAAATATATTTCCATTTCGACAAGAGAGTGAGTCAGTGCAAATAGTAGAAAAAGACTTGCATTTAAATAGCGCCTTTCTCAACCACAAGATATCTTGAAACATTTCCCAGGTAATGAAGAAACAGAGTCACTGAATGGTGCTGGAAACAGCAGGCAAACTGCACACAAAGTTTCACAAGCATAAGAAAAGGTTGAGGGAGGCATGGGCCAAATGCCAGCAAATGGGACTAGATTCATTTCGGATATCTGGCTGGCATGGGCAAGTTGGACCGAAGGGTCTGTTTTCATGCTGCACAACTCTATGACAAAGCGATTAATTTCTGTACTGCTAAAGGTGCTACTTGAGAGCCAGGCTGAATAGATTCCTGAACTGAAAAAAAAAAAAAGAGGGCACCCATTGACATGAAACGCATTTTCGACCACTTACTGTGCTCAATTGGAGTTCCACAACCAGCACACATGGAATTCTGAGCAGCTACAACAGTTTCTCTCCTGTAATTATCAACAAAAGGAATGAAATCAAACAGAGGAAACGAACAAAATCACTTCAGATTCTTGTTTTGACCCATAAATCATGCTGCTAAAGAATTGTATTTGAGAATGGATTAATACTCAAAATAAAAATATGGCAATGGTTTTGTACAGTTTAGGGGAAAAAGGAGACACAGGCCTTTTCAGGAGGAAAATATACTCTAGTTTGTTCGAAAGACAACAAAAAAAAAGGCAAGGATCCACTAGTCGTTTATTGAAAAGTCACATTAGGCAACTTGACTGCACTTATACAATCCTACAGGCTAAAATATTCACAAGACTTGGGCATCAAACTTTGAAGCATCACAGGTGTGAGGTTACTTTTAAATCCAGGAGCATGGTCACATTGTTCGTGTGCAGCTCAAACGGTGTCCAGCGACATCCTTTCCACAAAAAAAAAAGCAGGACAAACCCAACTTGCCAATTCCCACCCCTACAGTCTATTCTAGATCAAAAGTAATGGAAGCTGGCATCAGTACTACCAAGCTGCACTTCCAAAGCAATAGTGTCCACCAATGCTCAGTTTGGGTTTTGTCTCTAGATCTCCTTATTACCTTGGCCAAACATAAAGCTGAAAAAGCTGTAGCCCAGAGGAGACGAGAGAGTGATCGCCCTTGACATTGAGAATATCTAAAATTGAAGTCATTGGGAATCAGGGGAAATCTGTTGGTTAGAGTCATACTGAACACAAGAAGGATGATGATTTCAGCTGTGAGAAACACATTATCTCAGTCCCAGAACATTGCTGTGGGAGTTCAGAGTGATGGCCTGACTCAACTCTGGATCAACAACCCTGCACTCAGCACACAAGTCTGAAGTGAAGATACTTGATAATTGCACATTGGCAACTCCTCAGACGCAAAGCATTCCACCATAGCAGCAGTCCATTCAGTCCACACCGACTCTCCGAAGAGCATCCCATGCTTTTGAGGAGTGTATGTAACCTGTCAAGCAATGAGGGAAAGTAATGATTTCCCCTTGGAGTTCAATGGCGTTACCATCACCTACTCCATCATCTTCATCCTGGGAGTTATCATTCACAGAAATTCAACTGGAATGGCCGTGTAAATACAATGGCTACAACAGCAAGTCAGGAATACTGCAGTGAGTAACTCACCTCTTGACTCCCCGAAGCCTGTCCACCATTGACAAGTAAGGAGTGTGATGGAATACTCTCCACTGGCCTGGATGAGTGCAGCTCCAGTGACACTCCTGAAGCCTCAACACAAGGCAAGACAAAGCAGCCTGCTTGTTTCCCCCATCTACCACCGACACACAGAGTGGCAGCACAGTGTGCTCCCATCAACACGATGCACAGAAGCAACTCACCAATGCTCCTTTACGAGCACCTTCTAAACCCACAACCTCTACCAGGCGGGAAGACGAGGATAACAGCTACTTGGGAACGCTGCACATTCCTCTCCAAGCCACACAACACAGTCTCAACTTGGAGTTGTATCAGAATCCTTGCAACCACTGCGGGCTTCCACAATTTTGACCCAACAGCATTTTGGATCTGCCTACTACATGTGGAGTGCAGCAGTTCAAGAGGGCAGCTCACCACCACCCTCTAAAGGGCAATTAGGGATGGGCAATAAGTGCTGGCCTCAACAGCCATGCCCATATTTCATGAATCAATATTTAAAAAATAAATTTACATAACTACCCAGTACTTCAAATTAGGATTCTTGAAACATGAATTCAATCTCCTGCTGTTTAAATTTAATTTCCCTTCAATAGACGGTTTTCATTCGCACCTTGGTTTGAAAACACTGATCTGCAGAAACTGAACTCAACGCTCACCCTCTCAATCCAATTATCTTATTTTTACCAGCAATAAAATCTCCAAATATATTATTTTGCAGCACACTGCCCAAGCCACCAATTAGACCCATATCCCCAAGGAGTGCTTATTTATAATAGACAGGTTTGTGGTTACTCACACAATGTTAACAGAATAGAAAGGGAGTATAGGAGTGGAAAGGGGACAGGAGCTTAGCTCCCCATTTTCTTTGACTGTTCTCAAGAGTGCGTGAAAAATTTGAGAAACATTGAATAGTTAGACTCACCACTCTGAGTAAACTGTTACACAGGGTATAATAAGGAGAAGGGAAAATATTTTAAAAAGGATCTAAGGGACAACTTTTTCACACAAAGGGTGGTACATGTATGGAATGAGCTGCCAGAGGGAGTGGTGGAGGCTGGTACAATTACAATGTTTAAAAGGCATCTGGATGGGTACATGAATAGAAAGGGTTTAGGAGGGATATGGACTAAATGCTGGCAAATGGGACTAGATTAGTTTAGGATATCTGGTCGGCATGGATGAATTGAAGGATCTATTTCCATATGTATCTCTCTATGGCTCTAATATCATGCAAATTGAATTGTGGTAGATTAAAATATTTGAAGTTGTATAGTGCTCCTAAAAAATGCCAATTCTCTCTGCCTAAACCAGACAGTGCATAACCTCATGTCATGTTAAACATCAAACCAAACTTCAGTCACATTCTGAATATATTCAGATCACTTTCACATCACGTAGCCACCCTTATCCCTACCATGATCACTTTGGAATATCTTTTCCTCTCTTCATATACTAACATTTTGAAAACCTTTGGATTCTCGCTTAACCTTGATGGGCTCAAGGTTGGACTCAAAAGGGCCAAATGGCCTGCTTCCATACTGTAGGGATTCTACGAACCTTCCCTCATCCAAGGAGAGCAACTCCAACAATCCCAATTTCTCACACCGATATCCCGGAGTAACATCCTCTAAATTCCAAGGTTTTTACAGCCCATTTCAAGAATGGTGTCTGCAATACTCCAGAGTCCTAACCAAGGATTTGACAAGTTGCAGCATGGTTGCTTAGCTTCTGCGAACCCATGCAACCCCTAAAACTTTAAGTTTATTGATGTGCTTTGCAGAACTTGTGGTTACTAAGGTGCCACTGCTAATGTAAATTTTGATACAATGCCATTTATATTTGGCAGTCTTTTAAACATTAGAAGTTGTGAATTGGATTTCAATAAATCTGGAAAATCACGGGCAGGCATTAGAATCACCACAAAAGATAATATTTGTAACATTTTCTCCCCCGTGGTTCACTAATGTAGCTCGGGGAAGTAAATCTTTGCCCTCCTCTACTCTTGCCTACACCCAATTTCAGATCCACATTTGTGGTTGACTCAATAATCTTTGAAGTAAACACTTTCATCCCCTTCAGAGGAAAAACCAGGAGCAAGCAACAAATGCAATCACACCATAATCCACATTAAAAGCCCTACGAGATTCTCTAAGTGGTCATGTAATGCTGGAATGGAGGCTGAACTATACTAATGAGAGGAATTCAGAAATGAATAATGTTACCTTTTCAAATATTTCAATCTCCCAGATAATTTTGCTCATTAATAAACAATGCAAAAACAAAACTGAACACCAAAAGAAAAATCTGTCGATAAAGAGATGCTCAGGAAAGATATTTTTTCCAATTTGCTGTCCTTCAAATACGAGAGAACAATTACCAATCTTCAGAACACATAATGGACGAGTAGTTTAAAATAAACCAACAGCAGTTACTCCAGACTAAAATGTTAATATAGTTTACTAGAGTTCTAAATGTTGAATTAAACTGGTTGACAAAATGGCCTCCCTCTGGATGTTTGTCCCCACACCATGTGCTTTGTATTACTTGTGCTGAAAGCTATATGTATATGACATTCATACATACCTTTGTGGTGCATGGATGAAGAACAGAATTTGAAAGCGAGGTGGGGCCCAATCTGCAGTTCCCCTCAATCGGGAATTTAACTTGAACTCTGGTGTCAAATCTACAGATTCCTCTGCACCAGGCAAAGTGTCCTTCAGAGGGAGAAACTAGAAGGCAGGGAAGCAAAAAGTTGAGTGACAAAAACAAAAAAAAAAGGCTAACTTGATATTTCACTCTAAGAAAGTGGCATCTGTCCCCTGCAGCTGATTAGTCCATCCAGACAGTCCAACATTCAGCAAACTTTTTTCTCTTAGGTACCAATAGAGGTGGGGGCTGGGAACCTGGAAGGGTTGACCAGCAAATTGCTGTAGTCAGCCAGTTACAGGTCGAGTCTGGCAGTGCAGCGAAAACAAGACGACATGTGGAAAGGCTGCTTGCTATACAAGGACTGTCATTGTTATCTTTTAACTTGATTTATTTATCTTCTTATGAACAGCTGTAGTGTAGGACTTACAGCCTCTTTATTTCTCTATTTCTGTACCCAATCTATTTTAGTACCTAGGTACTTTGTACACATTTAACTGTACTTTGCAGTTGAGTACACATGACAATAAATCTAATTCTGATCCTAAGATCCTGCACATTTCTAACATATCACGGTTGGTTTCAACCCATTTGAGCACATCCACTCAACCCATAACATCATTGACACTTGTATAGGCTTCTTGTCTTGTGAACTGCAAGGAGGGTCAAGCAACATCAAATTGTGGGACAAATTTAGTCAGCAGTTTAAACATTTTCTTTTTAAAAAAAAAACCCATCAGTAACCAGTTGGATTTGAAAAACTCCAAAACAGCAGTTTCTGGAAAGTGCAAGTCTGACCAGAAATCCATGGAAACTGAGCCAACTTCATAGATTCTACTCGAGTAATAATTTGAAGGCAGTAGAAAATTAGATAACTGGAAACTTTAAAATCTGCAGAATGCGTTACAAAGAAATGGATTTAAAAATATTCCCATTGGGCCAAAAAAAACCCTAGTATGTTTGAAGTAACACTCCAAAACACAGCAATCCCAATAGGATTTAAGTAAATAAAGGCTTTATTGGGTATGGAAATCTTACTTTCAAAAAAAAAAAAGAATAGCCGACTACAGTACAGAGAAATAGGACTGCAAAGTTTATCAAACAGAATGCTGGAAGTGGCAGGATCAATTAGACAGAAAGCAAGGAAAGGGTCTTCATCTTAATCCTTACCACAGGGCTGATTGACTTTTTTTGGGGGGTGTAGTAGGTGGTATGGGATATTAATCCTGTATTGCAGTTTCTCCTAGTTAGTCCTTGCAGTATGGACCGAGAAATATGGGGTATTGTTGAGACAGATATCTTTAAGTTTATGAAGAACTCCAACTATGAACATTGATACAATATCCTAAGACTTACATTTAGGCTGGGTTTTATGCTTAGGTCATTGTTATATGATAGATATTTTCTATAAGCAACCTGTTCAGTGATTGTTATTGCTCTGAGGCAGGGGGTGCTTGTATCTGGACTTTTGGCTTAGAGGTAGGGACACTACCACTGTGCCACAAGAGCCCTTTTGATGCTATCACATTGTATTGATAGACACCTGGCTAACAGACAGACACATATAGATGGAAAGATGCTTAAAGTAAAACGGAGACATTTCATAATATACCACCACATGCTATGATGCCATCTAGCCATCTTAAAAGGTATAGTACCTTTCGGAGATTATTAATATTGTACCAATCAGCTCCTACCCTTAGTTTCCAACATTTGCAATCCATTTGTCCCTCATTCATATCTCAAAAAGAATCAACTGTGTTAGATTGTCAGCTGGTTATGGATCCAAGTCCCTGTCCACAGACTTGCACAAGTGATTTAAAGTTAACACTGTCATACAGCATTGAGGAAGTGCTACATTGTTGGAAGTGTCATCTTGTTTAGATAAAATGGTAAATGGTGTGCTTTTATTGCTCTCCAGAAGAGCATAAAAGTTCACATTCTAGGCGATCAAGGGATTATAGCAGTAGGGATTAGAAGGAACTGACCAAATTCCAAAATTTTATGGATTTGATTCCCTGGAAAGTTAAACAATGGAAGGACAGAGATATTTTCTTCTGTGACAGCATGTCTCCCCATTCCTTCCATTGCTATGCACTTCGTCGCATGCCCATCACTTCATTTGCAAAAATGAAGGCAGCAGCTCAGCTGGTATCCCATCATTTGGGAGCATACAATTCCACAAATGCAGGGTAAACTGGAGGTGGACAATTCCTGCAAAGAAAGTAGAGAGAAGGCCAAGAGGGCTGGGGGGGGGGGGGGGGGGAGATAAAGAATTAGTAAGGTCAAAAAATGGAAAGAATTGAGAGTTCAGCAGGTTGTACAGAATGGGCTGAGGCCGTTTGGGATGGAGATAAAGATTTGTGAACAGATTCCAATGGAGACAAGTTTTATTGGAGATAGATGCAATTAGTCTTTCTTCAAACAGGGTCAATTCCCAATCCAGACAGACCCTCCAGTGCAATTTTGGGGAAGTCTTACACACAGTCAGAGGCGAGACACTAAAAATGCAAGTTGGCATAAAAAGACCCACATCACTTTGAGCTCTCCCCTTCTCTGGGCTAAATTCAACCCGTCGACAAGAGAATTTGGTTGCTATTCCATTGCTACTTGTGGAACGTAACTAGGCATCAATGGATCGCTCTAGTTCCAAAATCACAAGAGCAACATTTTCTTTTTGAAAAGATACTACATAGTTGCTACGTTGACAGGGGTCAAGAACAATGCAATACAAATGCAAGCTTTTTTTTTAAAAAACCTCTTTGGGGTTTGAAAACAAAAAATCTCATTCAAAATTACACACATGGATTGGAACACCCAATGGAGGTGCCCCAAGAACAGACTCTGCGACACACTTCGCTACCTACTTCATCCAGCACTTTCTCCACTGTGTCAAAATGATGCATTTCAGTCTCTGGGGGCAACCAGGTCATTCTGAAAGATTTAAACAGTCGGCGAGCCAAATATTCAGCAGATAAACGGTGCCTGAAACCAAACAAACAAACAAACAAAAAAAAAATGTATCTGTGCTTTAAAACCAATTGTCTCATACAGAATAATGATTAGGGGAATTACAAGCTAGGTTAAAGGAAATCGTTTGAAAATACACCAGAGGCTGCTTGCAGCTTTTTTGATTTACATGAGTGGGTGAGGCGGGGATTTCCAAAATGTGACAAACTGCTGTAGAAATTCTCTATTTGCTCCTTCCCGTCAGAGGAAGTAACACTTAGGTCAGCCTACTGTCCTGACCAAGAGGAGAAACTCGAAATATGCAACAGAGGGGAAGTTCTAAAAATTTCAGATCAGACCCCAGTTTAAAAAAGGATATTTTTTTGGATCACATCAAACTCACTTCTTCCCTGAACTGTCTGTCTGCCAACACACTTTAATGATTCTTAATAAAATGTAGAGAATATCAAAATGTTAGTGGTTGACCAGCCACGGCACCAAAGAAGTCAGATTCCCAAGAGAAGGAAGCAAAGATCTCCTCAGTTAGTGGTTTCCTATTGTACAAGATTACATAGATAGGTTTGGAAGAATCCATTCAGACCCCTTCCCGATTCAGTTGGATTATAACTGAACTGCATCTCAACTCTATTTGCCTGCCTTAGTTCCAGATCCCATGTCCTCACCAGGTTAAAAATCTAACATCTCCCTCTGCTGCAGAGGTAGCATCCATGTCTCTGAGCTAGAGGCTCTGGTCTTGTCCCACTCCCAAGGAAAATGCATTCAAGATTATAATATTTGGGTGCATCATGGACTTGTTGCACTACTGAAGAAACTTGGTAGAGTTTGCCACGGTAAGATAAACACTAGCTTTCAGAAACATTTTACTGTTGCTTCATCTTGCCATGAGGCTGCCAGGCAACAAGGCCATGTGACATCACATCACTTCCTGTGATGTGTACCATGCCATGCCTCTTTAGCACAACAACGTACCTCATACTACAAACAAGTTACAAATCAAGTGACAAATCCTTCTAACACAAATCAGTGACAGACAGTACAAGTGAGAGAGATTCCTGGTCAGCTGTGGTGATGGAAAGAAAATTGGAGCTGCCACCACCATTATCCGTAGCTCTAAATGACAACATGTCGAAGTGCATGGTTGCCACAGCACACATCTATCAGAGCCTGGATATTTTCAATTGGTCCTCACCTTCTTTGGAGGAGAGTTCTAGATTTCACTCTCTCAAACAAAAAGATTAGTTTCCTGAAAGAATTGCTGATTGACCTCACCATTCAGTTACACCCTCTTGTGTTGGGCTCCACACCAGAGAAGAGAGATCTAGCCAAGCAATCAAATCTGCTATGGCACCCTCTTGTTGGCTCAAGGACATAAATAATTCAAAATTTTCTGCAATGTGGCATCTAAGACATTGACACAGGGGTACACAAGTGCCTAAGACTTTGCAAGTCTATCCTTTTAACGGATGGGAGTCAAGAAGGAAGAAAAAAAAAAAGAGGCTGAACTTGGAGAAAAAAAATAAAGACAATTGGATCCAAGAGATTGGATGCAGAATGGGAAACAAGAAAATATTACCCCCAACAATTCAAAAGGAGAGAAAAAAAAAGTTGAAAGTCTCCATGAATTACTTGCTATTTGCAGGAACAAGATTCCACTTAAACACAGTTTCCCACATGGCTGGAGAGATTGACACACTCAGAATCTTGGAATCACAATGTGGAAGCAGGCCTTTCAGCCCATTGAGTCCAAACCAGCCCTCTGAAGAGCATTGCACTATCCCTGTATCTTCTCGCTCCTCAATCTTTTCACCCCATTCCTGTAACCACTGCATTTCCCATGGCTAACCCACCTAACCTAACATCCCTGGACACTGTGGGCAATTTAGCATGGCCAACTCATCTAACCTGCACATCCTTGGACTGTGGAGAAAACCAGTGCATGCAGAGGAAACCCACGCAGACACGGGGAGAACGTGCAAACTCCACACAGACAGTCACCCGAGGGTGGAACTGAACCCAGGTACCTGCTGCTGAGAGGCTGCAGTGCTAACCACTGAGCCACCGTGCTGCTCTGAATAGGGCACATATTCCTTTCCTAACTTTGAGCGGAGTTTATTGGATAGTTAATGCATTAAATCCATTAAAGCCTAACAATTTCTTTTGTAATTCACAAAGTTTCTCTTTGTCACTGCATTTGGTTGGAGGAATTGCATGCCAATAACAGTGTACATATTCAACTCAACCAATCAATCTTTAATACGGATCTCAACTATGCTCAAAAAAAAAGGAATAGCAGCCTCAGGGGCACAGACTATTCTGCCCTCTCCACATAGGAAACTTTCATTTTCCAATCGTCACCAATGCTCTTTCACCCTAATTCTCCAATCCCAGAATGCAGTCTAATGTCGCACTGTCCAGAGAGCAGGCTTAAAAATGTGTGAAAGGGTAGCTGTTCTCATTTAATACAAATGGTTTAAAAACATGGGACTAGTCAGAAAAGGGCATTGGATGAAGGCAAACAGTACAACTAAGAAAACCTTACCTTTCTATCGATTTTAAGGGGCCATCGGAACCAAAAATAAGGTCATCAAATTCTGTAAACAAACAAATTGTCCAGAAATAAACAGCAAGTAGGCAGTTTTAAAAAATTAAAATCCCTTGTCAAGTGAAGTAAATGTTTAACAAACAGGTGCACATTTTTAAAAAAAGTGTTAAATACTCAAAGGTGCATACTAGAAACATGGACTGTCATGTTAAAACAAATAAATTTAAATAGTTCGCTAAAGTTCATTTGCAACACAAAATATAAAATGAAACCAAGACGTATTTTACTGGGAACTCCCCAGTTTATTTCAAAATTAAATCGAATGATTCACATGGTCAGGCTCTGGTGTTATTATCAGGACTGAGTGTGTGTGTGTCAGTGATTCACCACAAACTCTACTTAACACCAAAGATCTACAAAACACCATTTGCATCAAACACTCGAGTTTGCAAACAAAATAAATTCAGAACAGTTGCATCTGTCAAAAAGTAAAGAGACCTTTAGGCAACTTTAGCAAACTGCTATTACTCAACAGGTGGTCAAATGAAAGTGACTGGCGAATTGGATGCTTTTACATTTTAAAAAAAAGGGGGCAGCTAATTGCAGACCCCTGGTGTCCTTTCACAGAAAGATTAACGTCACACTCCAAAGCTAGAAGCATTGTAGATTCAATAATTAGTTTTAGAATATTCATTATTATAGTGTATACCCACTAGTTGATTACATTTACAGAATAAATGTTTTTAAACTGCTAATATGCATTTGGTCAAGAAGTGTGTTTTTGTATATTAATGGAATCCAGAGACCAGCTCTACAGTCAAAGTAGAAAATTGTCTGAGCTGCACTTTCACTTTCTCCTCTTAAAAAGTGAAGCAAAGATTGCAGTGAAAGGTGTTTGATTTACATATTTTTGAGAGATCGAATTTCAAACCAGTTGGCCACTTTTGAGGATGTTTCTTTTTTATTTTAAAAGCACTAAGTCAGATAGTCCTTTTGAAAGAGTGATCCATTCTAGTATTGTCAGAGACCAGTTGACTGTAAATCCATGGTCTGTTAATGGAATAAGATCAAAGAATACTTAGTCCGCAAGCAGGCCATTTGGCCCATCAAATTTCACTGGCCCTCTGAAGAGCACCTTACCAAACCCATGCCCCTGCTCTATCCCTGTAACCCCTCATTTCCCATGACTAATGCACCCAGCCCACACATCCCTGAACTCAATGGAGCAAAAAAATTTAGCATGGCCAATCCACCTAACCTGCACACCTTTGGACTGTGGGAGAAAACCTGAGCACCTGGAGGAAACCCACGCAGACACACACCAAACATCTGTGTGGAGTTTGCACAGTGACTCAAGGCTGGAATTAAGCCTGGGCCCCTAGCACTGTGAGGCAGCAGTGCTAACCACTGAGCCACCATGTATAAAGATGTTTACACTGTGGTGTTTATCACAAGTGGAGTGCACATGGCCATTGGTTTATCTTTATTCAGAATAACCAAAGATTTAGTTTAGAAGATTTTAGGGTAATTTGGAGGCCTAACTGGGGCCAGAAGCAAGGTCAAGGATTTTCTTTTTTTTGGAGAGAGAATGAGGGGGTCAGGAAGCAGTTTGGAGTCAGAGATGACAAAGTGTGGAGCTGGAGGAGTACAGCAGGCCAGGCAGCACGAGGGGAGCAGGAAAGCTGACGTTTCGGGTCAGGACTCTTTTCATTTTGAAGAAGAGTCCCAACACGGAATGTCAACTTTCCTGCTCCTCTGATGCTGCCTGGCCTGCTGTGTTCCTCCAGCTCCACACGCTTATCTCTGACTCCAGCATCGGCAGTTCTTGCTATCTTGGCGTAAGAAATGTTTAGTTTATGGAGCTTTCAAACAAGGGTTGTATGGCCAGAAATTCACAGGCTACTGGAAGCTGAGAACGTCTGAGCTTTCGGTTTGAGTATATTCACGTAAGGGTCCACATGACAGAACCAGATCAGTTGAACTTGGAAGATTTGATAGAGAGGGATAATTTCTCTGGATTTGAACCTAATAGTGTCAAAGAACAGATTGAAAGGTCATTTTGCTTTGTTTTAAAACCTTTGATTGTGGTCTATATCTAGATAGCTTTTTTTGCGTAATAGAGTTCTATTCTGCACTAAAAAGAAAATTCCTTTTGTGTGACCATCTTTCAATGCCTGAACAGTGCTAACCACAATCAAAAACAACTTATCATTGATCATAAAATAACAAGGTGTAGAGCTGGATGAACACAGCAGGCCAAGCAGCATCAGAGGAGCAGGAAGGCTGACGTTTCGGGTCTGGACCCTTCTTCAGAAATGGGGGAGGGGAAGGGGGTTCTGAAATAAATAGGGAGAGAGGGGGAGGCGGATAGAAGATGGATAGAGGAGAAGATAGGTGGAGAGGAGACAGACAGGTCAAAGAGATGGGGGTGGAGCCAGTAAAGGTGAGTGTAGGTGGGGAGGTAGGGAGGGGATAGGTCAGTCCAGGGAGGACAGACAGGTCAAGGGGGCGGGATGAGGCTGGTAGGTAGGTGGTGGGGGTAGGGCTTGAGGTGGGAGGAATGGATAGGTGGGAGAAAGGATGGACAGGTTAGGGAGATGGGGACGAGCTAGGCTGGTTTTGGGATGCGGTTGGGGGAGGGGAGATTTTGAAGCTTGTGAAGTCCACGTTGATACCATTGGGCTGCAGGGTTCCCAAGAGAAATATGAGGTGCTGTTCCTGCAACCTTTGGGTGGCATCGTTGTGGCACTGGAGGCAGCCCAGGATGGACACGTCGTCCAAGGAGTGGGAGGGGGAGTTGAAATGGTTCGCAACTGGGAGGTGCAGTCGTTTGTCGCGAACTGAGCATAGGTGTTCCACAAAGCTGTCCCCGAGCCTCCGCTTGGTTTCCCCGATGTAGAGGAGGCCACATCGGGAACAGCGGATACAGTATACCACATCAGCTTGATGTGGAAGGTTTTCTTGGGGCCTGGGATGGGGGCGAGGGGGGAGGTGGAGCATGGAGAGAAAGAAAAAAGAGAGAGAGAGAGAGAGAAAAAGCCCTTATCATTGATCAAGCCAGATTGAATTCTGGGATCTTAGTTGTCCAATAGTACCACCAACTGGGATTATAGGATAAGATAACATCATTTCCCCTACACCATCCCCTATTCAGTTAACGGAGGTAAAGGATTTAGAACCTTGATCCGTTCTGACACCGGTACCTATTATCACAAAATCATCATAAGCATCGTCATCAGCACCAACAGCGTCACCATTTTGTTTGTCTTCAAGCAGAGACTTGGAGCCAGCATCAGAGCAATCATCCAACTGGGTAGCAGAACCACCTGTATATATAAACAAAAAATGGAATCTGGGTAAACTGTAACATTTCTCCAGTGTCCACTAAACAACGCCGGGAACAATAGTTCACTAGCAATATTGTGCCGTCAGGAAGCTTGGAAATAGGCGACCAAGAGCATTTGGCACAACAGATCTATTTGTAAACACCCTCCACTTCCTTCATCACAGGGTTTAATTATCTCTGAAGGCATTGGATTGACACCAGCTCAAATCAGCATAGAACATAGAACATTACAGCCTTCGGCCCTCGATGTTGCACTGACCTGTGAAACCAATCTGAAGCCCATCTAACCTAAACTATTCCATTATCATCCATATGTTTATCCAATGAACATTTAAATGCCCTCAAAGTGGGCAAGTCTACTACTGTTGCAGGCAGGGCATTCCACGCCCTTACTACTCTCCAAGTAAAGAACCTACCTCTGACATCTGTCCTATATCTATCACCCCTCAATTTAAAGCTACATCCCCTTGTGCTAGCCATCACCATCCGAGGAAAAAGGCTCCCACCGTCCACCCTATCTAATCCTCTGATCATCTTGTATGTCTCTATTAAGTCACCTCTTAACCTTCTTCTCTCTAACGAAAACAGCCTCAAGTCCCTCAGCCTTTCCTCAGAAGACCTTCCCTCCATACCAGGCAACATCCTGGTAAATCTCCTCTGCACCCTTTCCAATGCTTCCACATCCTTCCTATAATGCGGTGACCAGAACTGTACACAATACTCCAAGTGCGGCCGCACCAGAGTTTTGTACAGCTGCAACATGACCTCATGGCTCCGAAACTCAATCCCTCTACCAATAAAACCTAACACACCGTACGCCTTCTTAACAACCCTATCAACCTGGATGGCAATTTTCAGTGATCTATGCACATGGACACCGAGATCTCCCTTAGAAGAGGCCTTCTTACTCTAAAAGGAAGAGCTGCCTCACAGACATGTAAAGTGCCCATATTTTATGTTTCTATATGTCTGTGGCAGCACTGTCATTGGGGTGTGTCCTGTCCCACAGGGAGGGAAGACCTACAAGAAGTGGGACAGTGGTACACCATCAGGAAGAATGTTGTCCATGACATGACGTCAGGACTCCACAAATTCTCACAACACCAGGTTAAACACGGACAAGGACATCAGATTATCACCACCAACAGCCCCTTCCTCCCCACTCAGCTGATGAGTCTGCATTCCACAATAGCGTCATTTGGAAGAAGCATTGGCAAGTGCACCGAATGAAGTCTGTCCACTCAGAAAATAATCACAAACATTACATCTCGGTAGCCCCACAACTGCTGACCCTGAACTATAAATTGCTTGGTGAGGTCTGTAGCAGTTCGAGAGGGAACCAACTTGACCTCATTCTCACCAGTCCATTATAGATGGAGCAAGTTGTACTGGTAGGAATGATCATGGTACAGTGGGAATGAAGTCTCATATTCACACAGCAAATACCCTTCAAGTTGTCTCAAGTTGCCCTGGATGGAATAGATTTCCAAATCGATCCAGCAATGCAATCCAAGCATCCATACTGTGGTTCACCAGTAGCTGCAAAATTGCTCAAATACCATCTGTAACCTTGTGACCTATGTATCTCCCACTCTACCATTCCGATCAAGCTAAGGGATCAATCCTGGTTCAATGAAGGATGCAGGATGGCATGACAGGAGCAGTACCAAGCACACCTAAAAAAAAAAGTGAGCTGTTAATATGTTGAGGATATAGCATAGGTCTACTTGTGTGAAATAGCCAGGGCTTTCGATCAGATCCAAGCTCCATAGCTTAACCAGTCACGCATTGTGGGATAATTACACAGCCAGTCAGAGGTGGGTCTGTAAATATCCCCAGCCTCAATGATGGAAGAGCCCAGCTCATCAGTGCAAAAGATAAGGCTGAAACATTCGCAGCAATCTTCAACCCGAAGTGCCAAATGGACGAGCCATCTCCCTATCCTCCAGTGGTGCCCAAGATTACAGATACCAGTCTTCAGCCAGGTTGATTCATTCCACATGATGTCAAAAAAAGCTGGAGGCATTGGATACTGCAAAGGCTTACAGGCCCGGACAACATCAAAAGATGACCGGCAGTGTCATCAGTGATATCTGACAGCAATAACCTGCTCAGTTTGGGTTCCATTAGGGCCACTCAGCTCCTGACCTCATTACAGCTTTTGTTCATGTTTAAGAGCTGAATTCCAGAGGAGAGGTGACAGAGGCAGTCCATGACATCAAGGTCACATTCAGCCAAGTGTGGCATCAAGGAGCCCTTGCAAAACTGATATCAATGGATATCACGGAACAAATTCTCCACCGGTTAGAGTCATACCTGGCAGATAGGGAAATGGTCGTGGTTGTTGGAGGTCAGTCATCCCATCTCTACAGGAGTTCCTCAGGGTACTGTCCTAGGTCCAACCATCTTCAGCTGACTCATTGAGATGGCCTTGGTGCAGGATGAAGTGAGGATTTTCACGGACAATCTCAAACATTTCAGTACTATTTGTGACTCTTCTGCTCCTGAAGCATTCCATGTTCACATGCAGCAAGACTAGGAGAACATCAGGGCTTGGACGGCTAAGCGGACAGTGCCAAGCAATCTGACCAGGACTGTACACAATACTCTTGACCTTTAATGGAATTAATATCATGGAATTCAACTTGGAGGTTTTCATTAAACAAAAACTCAGCTGGACTTGCTATATAAACTCAGTGACTACAAGAGGAGGTCACAGACTAGGAATTCTGTAATGAGTCCCAACTCCTCAAAGACTGTCCACTATCAACAAGGCACAAATCAGGAGTGTGATGGAATACTCCCCACTTGCTTTGATGGGTGCAGCCCCAACAACACTCAAGAAGTTTGACACCATCCAAGACAAAGCAGCCCACTTTAAACATTCAATTGCTTCACCATTATTGACAAAGTCATTGCAGTGTGTACCACCTACCAAGTTACACAGCGGCAACTCACTAAACATTCTCCAGCTGCACCTTCCAAACCCACGACCACTTCCATCTGGAAGGACAAGGCCACCAGATACATGGGAACACCATCCACTGCAAGTTCCCCTCCAAGCCACTCACCATCCTGACTTGGAAACATATCGCCGTTCCTTCGCTACTGCTGGGTCAAAAATCTTGGATATCCCTCCCTAAGGGCATTGTGGGTCAACCCACAGCAGGTGGACTGCAGTGGTTCAAGAAGGCAGCTCACCCCCACCTTCTCAAGGGGGCAACAAGGGACGGGCAAGAAATGCTGGGCCCAGCCAGCAACATCCACATCCAGTGAATGAATAAATAAGTACAAACCAAATGTTCACCTTCAATGTGCTGGAAGCCCATTCCATGTTTTGATTTCTTACTGCTTAAAAGATCTTTTAATTGGTTTGGACAAATGACCTTTACCTTACTCCAACAGTATCAGAAAATATTCTGATCAACCTCCTCTATGCCCACCACCTACCCCCCCCCCAACCTCCATTTAATATTTCATAAACTAAAACCAGTTGTCCCAGATGTGAGATACCTCCTTTCTGAAAAGATTGTGTATTATTATAACGAGCGCTTTTATAGCACAAAGAACACACTTAATAAGCAAGGGACTCTGGCAGCAATGAGACAAAAATGTTGTTATTTCAACTGAGCAATGATGGAGGAAATAGAATGGGGACAACAGTGAGTAGGGGGAATGCAGTCAACAGGTTGATTTTCTTCTTTTTCCTCCCCCTTCTTTTGTCATTTTGTATCTGCTCTTCTCGACTCAGACTTGACGAGGCGTCCCCTCGGCCTGGCGTAGAGGCCTGGTGGTCTCAGCCTGGCGGTCTCAGCCTGGCATGGCAGTCTCCCAGCCCATCATGGCAGTCTCTCGGCCTAGCTCAGCATGGACCTCCATTCTCAAGGGGATTCCAGAGAGATGTCCCAGCCTCGTGAACCCTGAGGTGAAGCCCAGCTGGGTGTACAGTCAAGGCCTGGTACAGATGGGAGGCTTGGTGCCAGCATGAACTCAGTCAGAAGACTGTTGCACTGAACTTTTTTCTCCATCTTGAAATTTAATACTAGAACGTGCAATGCTGGACTTTTTATTTCTGTTTTTCTAAAAAACTACAGCTGAAGCTGCACCTGGAGACCTCGTCCCTAAGATGGTGCGGTAAGCAGCGACTTATGCACTTTTCACTGTACTCATTTGAATAAGTGACAATAAAAGCTAATTCTAAAAGACACGAACTGAGCGTGATGAATCAGAAACTAAGAATAGACAGCTGAGCCAAACTGTCAAACAAGTGCAAGAAGCAATGAAAAAAAAAGAAGGTGCTGTCTGGACACAGATTAAAGGTATAAAGAGACAACAAGGTGCAGGGCTGGATGAACACAACAGGCCACCCTGGTGGTCTAGTGGTTAGGATGCGGCGCTTTCACCGCTGCGACCCAGGTTCGATTCCCAATCAGGAAATTAAAGGTATAAAAATGGATTTGATAGGAGGTAGAAAAATGTATTTGGTGTGTGCGGGATTATTGAAAAAGTCAAAGCTGTCACAAAGGCTGGGTTGTCTGTAGATACTAAAAACGGTATTGTCATTAGAAGGAGGACTTAAACAAAAGACAGCTCAAAAGAAGTTGTCCAACACCACCCGAGTGGAAGTTAAGCAGAACTCTTCAGAATGAAGTGAAGGATTGAACAATCAGAAGTGGCAATTTACATAGCTTCTGGTAAGCCCTATATCATGGCAAAACCCCCAAGTCTCAAAATGCTTTTGACAAAAATTCCACCTGAAAATAGACTAGACTCAGTTCTGGGGACTCTAAATAAATCCTGAGAATCAATTAAGAAGCTGAACAAGACTTTATTCAGGGACCATGTTAAAAAGACCATATCCAATTTTGGTCTCCTCATTAGGGGATAGAGAAACTTTGTAAAAGGTACATTGGATGGAACTTAAAGTCTCAGTTTGAAAGTTAAGATAAACTGAACGTGCTAAACCTAATATATTTCAGCGCAGAGACATTGTCCAGTGGGGGGGAAAAAAATTGGCTAAATAAGGTGTAGTATTTACACCTTACAGAAAACAAAACTGTTTCTATAGGCACAACAAATCTTAAAATATTTATATGATCTCAAAGTTTCAAACTTTTTCTGGAAAGGAGGTGGATTTGTTATATCTCAGTAAGGGATCCAAGACAATTTTTCTCTAAATCTAAGTTACGCTTGGTTTCTTCACCCTATGCATTAAAAAGTAATTTCATACTTTGATTGCAAATCATAGAAAGTAAATCAGGTTGGACAAGAACGATTGTTTTTTGATTCTAACGAAGTTCACTAAGCTACAAGCACAAAGGAACTCAATACTTACATTCATAACCGCTATCCACAGAATTCACGGAGTTGGAATGGACTGCCTTCTTAATATAAGTGCTTATCTCATCTACTGGGGTCTGTGCAATTGCCAAGCTACAGTCTTCCAGCAGCTCTGCCTGTTCGTACATATTACTTTTCACATTCTCCAGTGCAGCAATCACCATATCAGCAACAACCAGGTGAGTGTTCTCCTGTTAACACAAACTTGTTCTTACTTTATTAAATTCATGTGAGGCCGAGTCAAAATGATAAGAATGATCAGGTGCACTCCATCTTTAACCCTGCCAACCAGTCATCTCTTTGTCCCCTAACTCACCCATGCAAAATGAAACCATAAGCTAAACATTCTTAGTGATGGTCAAACAGAAAGGAACGATAGAGTTAAGAGCTGACAAATGGAAGCTTTTCTAGGTCTGGAGCTCTGTGGGTGTGAGGTATGCCCTATTACAGCAAAGGGGCATCTGCCAATTTGTAACGTCAGGAATTGTTCCATCTTCTACCACGATGTGAAAGATGGGAAATGAGAACAAGGACAAGAGGAAGAACAGCCCCAGTCCTCTGGGACTTGCCTATGTCTAGAGCAGGAAAATGGTCATTTTTAAACAGCTGACATTGGTAGCTGGGCAGTTATGGCACAATCGGGCCAGATCTCTCTCTCACACACACCCACCCACCAAGGAGTGGTCAGCATGAAGTGTCCTCAAGACCTTGCAGGAAAAAGGATAGGGTGGATTCTGTTGCATGGCTCCTTGAGCAGACTGCCAAAGTCATTTGGCAAAATGCCCCATCACCAGAACTTCCCAACAAGCACTAAAATGTCACTTGGGTGGTGATACGATCCTTCACATATGGGGTTACTGCTCACAGACACATTCCTTGTCTCCTTGATTTATGAATAGAACCAAGCGCACTTTGCAATCAAGCAAGTCCAGACTGTTGTCCTCATAGCTGTGAATCCTAGTGTGAAAATGGGCTCACTGGGTATCCCAACAGTGCAGTAATCTTCCCTCTGATTGTTGAGGAGAGTGACAGTGACTTAAACCTCAAGAGGAGAGTAATCACCCTCACATCCCAAATATCCTCCACTATCAACATCCTGGGGGGTTACCATTGACCAGAAACTCAACTAGACTCACCGTTTAAACACAGTGGCTACAAGAGCAGGTCAGAGGCTAGGAATACTGCAGTGAGTAACTCACCTCCTGACTCCCCAAAGCCTGTCCACCATCTACAAGGCACAAGTCAGGAGTGTGATGGAATACTCACTACTTGCCTGGATGGGTGCAGCCCCAACAACACTCAAGAAGCTTGACACCATCCAGGAAGTGCCAGATTTCAAAGAGCAGAAAAAACCATGTATATTGCATGAGAAAAGGCTGCTGACTGTTTGACTAGTTAACTGTTTGATCAAGACTTGGCATGGTGAATCCTTTATTCATTCACAGGTCGAGGGCAACACTGGCTAGTCAGCATTTAATGCCCACCCCTAATTGCCCAGAGGGCAGCTAAGAGTCAACAACATTGTGGGTCTGGAGTCACATGAACGCCAGACCGTGTAAGGATGGCAGTTTCCTTCCCTAAAGGGCATTAGTGAACCAGCTGGGTTTTTCCTGACAATTGACAATGGATTCACGGTCATCATTAGATACTATAGAATTTTAAAAATGGAAAATCTTGCAGAGAATAGGTCCTTGCATATGAATATCATGTAGATTCTTGCAAACATAACTGAGGCACTTAGCAATTGAAATCGATAATCTTCAATTGGTTATCAATGTAATTATTAGCGCATTTGGGATTGTTCAAAAAGTGCCATCCAATCACAGAATCCAGCATTAGGCATTATGGCCCAAATCTTGGGTCAGAATCCTTATCCCTAACATCGACCAGACTAACAATTACTTTTGGCGTGGTTTTTTTCAGGTGAATGCATGGACCAGAAGCCTTCCCGGTTGAAATAGCTCAGCTGAGTGCAGAAATCCACACTGAAATCACATCCTCTTCTTCAGCATGAAATGGTGTGTCCTGTCATTTAAAATTAACCTTAACAGTTGCCTTCTCTCACCAAGTGTGTACAAAACCCTACAGCTTCATGTAATCTCAATAGTCGTCCCATCCAGTGCTGTGTGAATGTTTGTTTAGGAGGCCTAGGTTAAAATTACATCTTGCTGCTTCTACTTGTCCTGGTTAATGGTGACAATGTGACTTTGATACATATTTAGAACCATTTTAACTTCTTCAAAGCATTTATTGTACGACCAGATGTCTGAAAGTGAATTACTCATTTCAACAGGATGTGGCATGAACTTCCAGAGGAAGTGGTGGACACGGGTACAGTAAAAACATTTAAAAAGATATTTGGATAAATTCACGAGTAAGAAACATTTGGAGGCATAAGGGGCAAGTGCAGGCCAATAGGACTAGTTCAGTTTGGGAGTGCGGTTGGCAATGGATTAGTTGGACAGAAGGGTCCATTTCTGACTCTACAAATTTATATTGGACTCTTTTCTCCTCATCTCAAAAGGAGACAATAATATTTTAGACCCTCTGTCCACTGCATTGTATAGTTTCTGTCACAGTAAAAAGGAAGCATTTTATTTGCACAGTGGTAACCCTGCATCTATTCTCTTCGTCATTTGTTTTGAGCATTATCCAACTTGTGACCCTTCACTGACTTGTATTCATAATATCTTTTCACCAGCACCCCACCCCACCCCGCCCCCAATAATTGGGTGCCAGAACTTCAATGCAAGTGCAGCTGGGGCATTCAACAAATTTAAAAATATTTGCTGACATTTGTATCAAATTCCTGATAAAACAAACAGGGTTCTCAGTTTTACACATGACTTTTGCACCCCATTACAAAAAGATATGTCAGTGTTTCAGATGGCCCTGTTAGTCAATTTGGAAATGTCACATGTCATTGTTGGTGAGGAGCAAATACGTACTTCATATCTTTCCATTGAGCTTCCTTTGCTCAAGGTGAGAGGGGAAAGACCCAAGGAACAACTTTTTCCATGAAGAGGATGGTGCATGTATGGAATGAACTGCCAGAGGAAGGTGAAGGAGGTTGGTACAATGTTTAAAAAGGCATCTTGATGGATACATGAATAGGAAGGATTAAGAGGGATATGGGTGAAATGCTGGCAAATGCCACTAGATTAATTTAGGATACTAGTCAGCGTGGATGAGTTAGATCAAAGGGTCTATTTCCGTGCTGTAGATCTGTGACTCTGTGACAATTCCCTGGTAGTGAACATCTGCAGTTTAAAACAAAAAAAAAGGGACGTTCCAGCACAGATCAAGTGATACTGAAATACACGATCTACTATTTTAAAACAAACTAGTAAATTGTGAACTCTTTATATTAAGAAAAATTTTTTAAACATTGAATATCTATATTAATCAACAATCCTGAACATTACTGACGCAGGAATTCCAAATAAATAAAAAAAAAGACAGGCAGTGAATAAAAAAGGAAAAAAGTTAAACCTTGTAGAAAAGGTGGAACAAAGAACAAAATTTATATCACAGCTTTGTGGATAACTTCTTACCCTTTCCTGAGCCCTACTTGCGCTGAAACTGGGACTGGAGAGATAACTCGTGTACACAATGGTCTCCGGTCTGTCATTTGGCCAATACCGTGCTTTCTCTGAGAAAAAAAGAGTGACATTTTAGATTCAAAGTGGGGGACGAAAGGGGAAGAAATTTAAAATGGATGGTGCAAATTCCTTGCCCGAAACCACCTTAAAAATGCCAAATATTTATATTTTTAAAAAGAGAACAACTTTAATTCATAAAATTTCAGATGACCAACTGGGTTACATTATTCTTCACATATCTCCTGACACTACGTTCGCACATTGCTTTGTCTGAATTGCAACCCCATTATTCAGTACCAACCCCACAGTGGTATTGTCACATGAACATCTTTTACCTGGATGGATTCTGGAGTCAGACTGAGGGCATTGGTAATAGGATACCTCAGCCTTACACACTGCAGGTGGAGCTCCCGAGAAGCTCCTGTATCTGGAAGCTGTAGCCTGTACGGAGGTTAGGAGTTTGCTGAGGGGGTTAAATTTAACGCGACTTGAGGACTTTTCAGGAGAGACACTTGAACTACTGCTGTACGAGCCATCTTGGGAGGTCGTCATAGCAATCTCAACACGGTGTCGCTGTTCTTCACCACCTTTATCATGATGGTTGTCCCAAAGACACTTCGAAGCTCCATCTTGAAGCTCGGTCAGTGAAGAAAGCCTTGTAACAGCCGCACAGTTCTCTGTGGAAGGAGGTTTGAAGCCATCAAAGGTGCCCAGTGCTGAGATCAGGATCTCTTTGATGGCTTCTGGATTGTTCGAGTGTCGTCCGGGATGCACTGCAGACTGGCCCATCACTGCTGGTGTGGAGTATTCATCTGACACAATAACAAGTTAAAAAAAAAAAGCAAGAAACAAAGTCAGAGATAGTAGGAACTGCAGATGCTGGAGAATCTGATATAACAAGGTGTAGAGCTGGATGAACACAGCAGGCCAAGCAGCATCAGAGGAGCAGGAAGGCTGACGTTTCGGGCCTAGACCCTTCTTCAGAAAATCATTTTCTGAAGAAGGGTCTAGACCCGAAACGTCAGC